TTACTTAATTTTAAGCTTAGTTTTTATGAAACTTTTCTGAAGTATTCGGCAAAAATTCTCTCTTGCGCTACTTCACAATTTACTTTACTTTCTCGTAAATTTTTTATTTGAATTCTTCTTCGATTCCCCTTAATCAGAATCTGAATCTTGAGAAATTTTCTTTTCAATATTTTTAATTTCATTGAAAGTCCTACGGCAAGTATATGAGAAGTCGACATCATCATATCTAAGGTAAATTAATTACTACAAGCAGTTTTGCGATGAATAACCCTTAAGTCGGTTTTACGTATGTACTTCAATGGTGTTTTCTGGGGTGCTTTGGTTAATGTCGGTCTATTCACGCTCATCCCCTCCCTAATTCCGTTCAATTAATCAAGCATACATCTAGATTTGCATGTCGTTGCACTGTATATTGTATTGTAAAGTTTGATATTTTTAATGAATGATGTTTTGAGCAATGGTGTCCATGCGTCTTATTCCTGTGTGTATCCTCAAATTCTTTCTCCAACTTCCCTCATTCCCTTTATTATGACAGTTTTATCAAAGCAACTTCTGATTCCTCGGCCATCGACCCTCTTGGTGGTTTTTCTTAAAAACCAGACGCTCTAGTGTCTCGCTTGTCTTTCCATCTCTGTTCTTATTTAACATTGTTTGTCCGTCTTCCTCCATAAAAGGTCTATTCTTTTTTGCCTCAATTTATCTTAATCAGGTTTGATGATGTCATCTTCTGCCGTTTCCTCACATTAATGGTTCCTTTGATGAAAATCGCCCATTTCTGCCTCTCTCTCTTTTGCATTCATTTCTCACCCTCAGGTCTTTAAATTTTGTACATGTCTCCAAGTCCATCAAAAGTTTGATTGTTCTTCAATTTTCTCATCTTTCCATATGTAGGAAAAGAGATGAGCTATGGACACTTTTGCCCTAACTGAGTCAGTTTGCGTACCTATTTCAGATATGACGGTCCTCCAGGCAGGGTAAGAATCAGAGCATCATGAGCTATGTTTCTCATCAAAATTTGATGAAGAACCTTTAGAAATGTTCAACATTTTACTGAGGAGCGAAGAATTTGTGTTCAAAGTTCACACCGATTGACTAACTTGAAATTTCTATCAGGGGAAATTTCGGCAAATCAACCATTGAAATTAAATCCAAATTCCCAGCAATTTACAGGGATCAGACTCTTTTTAACTCCCGTTGTGCTCTAATTTGTTTTGTTTTCAAAATCAGTATAAAAAAGTAGCTCCTCAAGAAATCTACATCTAATTAAACACAGAAATTGATTCAATAAGTGGTTTGACTGAAATAGCCGCAGTCCATCATTGAGCTAATAATTAGCATTGATACTTGCAGGAAATGGATACCTGTCACTTTAAACACAAACTATACAAATGCATCCTCTCTTTCTTCATGAAATTTTGATGATCAAACATGAACTGTGTTGCTTTCATATACCTTGCTCGGTACTCGATATTGTTTTTTGAAGGGTCTACCATTTTGTGATGTGATGTGAAGGAGGAAGTATCGATTCCCTTCTCCCTCGAGGAAAGGGTAAAGAGAAGATTTGCTGAGAGCTAGACGTTTTCCTTCAAATGAAGGCATTATCAGGCATTGAATGAAGACTCACTATTTACAAAGTTTACAAAATATAATTTACACCATGGACACCAAACTCAGTGAACTAACTTGTAAATATGTCTTTGTATATGTTTTCTCTTCGGTTAGATCTTCAGATGATCACTAAGTCTACTTAGACCAAAAACTTTGGATCAAACTGGTGACTAAAAAAAGTGCCAGCAGACGTGAAAAATTTGGAAAAGCGTGTTACAAACTACTATGATTGCTTGCTAAAGAGTAGATTGCAGACTTTTTTTTATCAAGATTTCGATCGCCTATCGTGATTTTCGGGGCATTTTACTTGTGGAAAGACCTTTACTTATGTGTATTTCTCGCAAGAAATTTATCTATTCTCAAATAATTTTTTATCAAAAACAGCACACTAAAGACCCCACGTAATCAAAGAGATATAACATAATGGCTATCACCTAGAGCTGCAGAGTGTCCATTTGTCTTTTCATTTTCAGGAAGTTAGCTGGAACATCATTTATTTAATTAAAATTGCTAAAAATCAGTTCTTTTTCCCCCACTCTTTTTATCAAACCCTTTGTCCATCACCGTTAGTAACTCTGCACCGCTGAAAAGATATGTATCTTGAAGAAGAAACAGAAAATGTTAAGTGCTTTTCAAGATGTCTTAATTGCTCCAAAAAGACTAGCTTTCACTGTGATATTTCATATAGATCTAAAAAAATGCTTTTTCACCGGTTGCCAGCTGCAAAACACAGACTAGTCCAGATTGCTAATATTCAATCTCACCTCTACTAAAAGAGCATGAGTTTACTTTTAGGAGCTCTCAACTGCAGATGAGGCAACATTAGAAAATTAAAGTGAAATGTGAGAAATTTCCCCTTGAATCTCATTACTAAGCCGTGTTAAATTATTATCATTACTTCATAACAGTAATTCTTAATCAAATGAGAGATCCTAATAAGCACAGTAACGCCAGATATGTTGTCTGGAGTATTATTTCAAAAGGTGGTAGTGAAAGCTCTAAACTGGAAACCAATTCTTTATTTCAGCCCTTTTCTTTTTTTTATTTTTGGTCTTAAGCCGGTGGCAGCTTCAGGGTTTCAGAGGATCAACCTTAAAAAATCAAATTAAAGTGATTCAAAAACATCTGAGGTCTTCAGTAGGACTTCTAGCTTACAATTCTGGGCTTCTGCCAGAATTTTGAGGTTATTTTATCAGAGGAATTTCCACGCATGTGCAAATTGTTTCAAATAATTGAAAACCCTAAGTATGTGCCATCATATCTGGCCCTACCTTTATGATATTTCCTGTAAAAACATGCCGTTTTAACGGCAGTGGTTTCCAGTTTCAAACGTCCGTGGATTTTTCCGTCACTGGCGTGCACACAAAACTTCTCAAGCTCTCGCACGGCTGTTAGCGAGCTGGACTAATCTGTGCTTCAAATAGTAGTTTAGTTGTAACCTTTTCCCAAATAAATCTCGAGGAATTATCCAAATATTGAAAATGTAGCTTGCTGTAATATCTTGATCTAGTCTGTAAATTGGTGATTTTGTAAAGTGTTGATTTAGAGTCATGACAGAACTTAGTTTTTCTAGTCATCAATTGGTGGCTCAGGTTATTTCAGTTACGTTCAGTTGATAAGTATATTTTATGATGAATATTTGTATAGCCCATCATCTCTGCATTTAGTTGGTTGAGTTTCTGGTTTGTGGTAGTCACATTTAAAAATTGAAAACCATTTTGTTTTCCCCAAGCTTAAAATAAATTGAAAAAGTGGCACTGAAGAGAAAAGTACCATTCATTTTGTTTTTCAGTAACCACTAAGAGTATAAAAGATTTAAATCTCCCAACAAGCAGCTTTCACTCTCAGCTTTTACTGATCAAGAATTATTTTATTTGTCAGCCAGCTAAAGGAAATGAAGACAAAAATCACCTCTTGCTAATGCCATTTTCAGTGTGGTGTTATTTAGGACTATCCACGAGAAAAGGAACCTTTGCTTCTAGAAAAAAATTCTACAGAAAAGCGATTTTTGTCAAGTCATGTCGAAAAATTCTGCACGAATTTTTAGTATAAGGTGCTCTCCAGTACCCCAGAAATAAAGTCGTAAGCAGTTTAGTTCTTTCTCATGTCAGTACAAGGCGTGAATTTCATTCTACCGCAATAATTAGGAACTAACAACATGGTGCTTTAAACACCGCATAGCTTTTTCCAACGTTTCTTGAACTGCAAACTTCAAACCCATCCATAAATCAGCAAAACGCACTCTTTAATGAAGTGATAGGATAGTACATCTTTTTTTAAGTTAATAGGCAAGGTCCCATTTCCTTTGGATGGTCTTCTGTATCTAACAAAAACAAACTGTTGAAATGGCTCATTTCAAACTTTCTAGTGAACTTTCATGTGAAGGTAAATCTATTGACGATGAACAGTCTCAAATTTTTTTCAATATTTGATCATTTAAACATTGTTAGTGGAACCCAATCAGCATAGTTCTTTTACCTCTCGATGATGGGTCCCTACCACCCCCTGCCGTATCATTCAGCAGCAGTAGTTTTTCTGATGTATCTGCTCTTTGAAACAGCAGTAGTCAGAGCTTTTCTTAGGGATATCAACAAACCGATTATAGTTCAAAATAAATAAATCAAACTGATTGTCTGAAGAACTTGAGCCAAGAATTGCGATAGATTCTCACTGAAAGCCGACTTAGGAATTGGGAAGCAGACACTCATTTGATGTAACTAAAGAGAAATGCATCTCGATTGTGGTGTGTTGTCATTAACTATTAGCTTGGTTTCACAAGAAAATAAAGGAATAACTTCGCCTGAGTTTTTAAGCAATATTCAAAGATAGTTACAGAAAAATCAAGCAAAATTTTATGAGTTGATAATCCTTGGTTGTCCTGCATTTAAAATAAATTGTGGCTGGAAGCTTTCAATGCCACTAAGTAAGACGTGCTATTTTTAAATTCACCATTGCATTGCCTCTATGTGTTCCTATCTTACTGTTGCTCAATTACATGTGTGGCTTTTGCCTATCCTTGTCTGTGAGTCAATCGCATGATGTCCTGATTGTTTTAACAATTTTAACATTAGTGGTGTTTTTTGTTTTTTGTTTTTTCCCCTCCTTAAATCACATTCCCCTCAATGTAGCTTGCTGCCAATGCACCTGAACCCACTTAACCCTTCCTAAAAAACTTTTGGTTCTCTCGAAAACTTATGCTGTTGCTTTTATTCACTACAAGAGCTTGCACCTATTTAATACTAATTCAAAGTTTCTTTTTGAACCATTAATGCTGATAACTTGCTCTGGACTGATGGAAGAGAAATCTCACTTCTTTTATCTATATTCCTCTCACATGCTGTACATATAACCTTCGATTACAAGGAAAATCAGCTCCGTGTTCTTTGTTACAGGCTGGCCTCAGAATCGAATAGCTTACCTAGCACAGGTGAGACTGTAGCGGTTTTGTCTTACCCTTATCATTCACCTGTCAACCCCACTGGTGTTTCTGGTTTTCAACCTACAGGCGGGGCTTTCAAAACTATGCCTGCCTCTCCAAAAGTAAGTACTCAGTTAATATGTAGTTAGTCTGGAGCAGTACAATGTTGAATTTCCCTTCTGAGACAAAGTGAGCCTAAAAATTGAATATTCTTTGCATTTTGTGCGTGCCCTAATACCAACACATCTTGATGTAAAAGATTCTAACTTCAAAAATCATAACTTGTCTGGTTGTGTCGTGGTCTAAATATAAAATTTCTCCGATTTTTTAAAGTTTAATTTTAGTTTGTTTAAAAAAATGAAGAGTCCTTTTCAGCTTATCTGTGATTGCCCATGGGAAAAAGTACCTTAATAATAGAAAACTCAAAATTGAGTTAGTAGCACCGTTGCATAGAAGCCTGTTTAGTGAACATTTCAGCAGACAAAAAGGATGCAATTATCTTACCTAACTAACATTATGATGGTTTGAATTTTATTTATCAAAAAGTATAGTTTGAAGAACAAGCTTTGTAAAAGTTAGAAACTGCCCTATTAGGGGCTCAATATTTTACACCCCCTATCTTAATGAATTTGAACTAAATTGCTTACAACTGATCCAAAGGACATTAGAAAGAGGTGCGTATCCGAAGCTCCAAAACTTGAATTTTCGACCCAACTGGCCAAAAATAAGCCTCCATGAACCAAGTCTCCTTTCTGGTGGCTAGTCACATTGATGCATATTTACCTACTCGATATGAATCTGTTTTAAGACTAATGGCTCTGCTTGTTCCAGGTTATAAAATCAGAACCCATCCAAATGCAAACTACCAGCACTGTATGGAGTGGGAATAGATCATCCGAACCGGTGACAACTTCTTGGACGTCTGTCACGAATTTGTTGTCACCAGTAGTCACTGTTGCTGCTGTATCCACTGCTGTTACCTCATCCTCTTGGACTCCAAACAAAACGACAGTCGCCAACATTATCTGGAGCTCATCTCCTGCCAGCATAACCACAAACGCATCTGTCAGCACCAACTCCTGGGCAACAACTGATGCTGCAACAGACTCTCCTCGGTGGTCCGATTCCACGACGGTGTCCGTTGCGCAGAACCCGCCCCCCACCAATAAAATATTCAATGTAAAAACTACGTTATCTCAGCCGCTTGCATCTTACCATTACATTCCGTCATCAGCAGTGAAGCTTACAACCACGGATCAGCTCGTGAATAATGTCATGACTACTAGAAAACTAGACCTCAAGCCGGTTGCTCAAGGTCAATATTCCCTGATAAACTTTACGCCGAGTTTATCAAATATGAAATTCATTTCTAGTCAGAATGTCTCAACTGTCGGTCAGCAGCCATTGCAGAAAACTGTGCTTGCGCCTCAAGCAAATGTGCGGACTGCACAGGTCTTGAGTAGCACAACAATTTTACAACCACAGATCATCGGTAAAAGTGCAGGAAATCAAAACGTTACAACTAGCGGGTCTCTTATAGTTCAATCCCAAGGGTCAGTGAATAAGTCGTTACCAATTTTGCAGACTACTTCTGTCCGACCCTCCGGTCCGTCAACACATCAGAGCCAACCGCTGACCCTTCTGCTCAGTGATCAGTATGTCACTTTGCTGAAACCCTCTAGCCAAATTGTTGAAGTCGATTCATCTACAACTGGTGCAAATTCGGAGCCGCTTCAGTATGTTTTAAGCACACCTGGCACGAGGGTACAGAATGTTTATCTCCCACATCAAGGCGGCTTTCAAATCCCGATCTCAAGTAAGTGCTCTTGTTTCTTTCACTTAAAATTTTGATTTCTTTTACAGAAGCGACAAACAAAATAATCGCTTATATCAACTCAAGAACCAGTTAAATCAGTCAGTGCATTGTAGCAATTTTTTTAGCACAGAATTTTTTAGTAAGTTGAATTTTAAAATCCAAATTTGAATGTTTGACAGAAATCCTCGAATATTCTGTAGAATAAAGTATAAGTGTTTTAGCAACCTGCTAACCAATGTAGGGCATGAGTTAGTATTTTATTTGGATAGATTTCAGCTCACAACTTATAATTTCAAGCATCTTTTCCTCAAAATTATTCTTTTAACTTTTTAATTTTTTATTTCAAGCCATCATGACTCTTACTTGATCTGTAATTTTTGGTGTCTAAATGTTCACAAAGCACTGCCAAGCTGTGCTACCAGCAATTTATTACTTTCCTTCATCCTGTGGAGGGTCACATTTTCCCAGTCTACGCTTTGTGAAGTACCAGTACTATAGTCAATATTGAAACGCCGAGTTTTTCTGGTTTCAAAATCCATTTTTACTGCTAAAACTGCTGAAGTTGCTATTAAGTCTCCTCTTTTTTTTCCTCACTAATTTTAAATCTTCATTGTTAAATGATTATCCTGTTTGCAGCTGCTGATGGAGGAGTTAGACAAGTATCTGTGAAACCACCATTGCAATTAGTTGCAACCTCTCAAGCTCTCTCAGCTGCCTCAACTGTGATCGTTAGCAAACCAAATTCTCTCTCTAACCAGTGAGTACCGTTTTTAACCTTTATTTATTCATTCACCGTTTCACCAAAATTTAATATGCCATCAATTAGTTCTTCAGTCAAAATCATCTCCAAATGTTGTCAACCACAAGAAGAAAGAAAAGGAAATAAAAGAAACGCCTTGTCAGTGATTTCAAAAATTCCAATCCCCTCTTTGATAAACTTGGTTAGCCAATTGCTTCAGAGTAGCTGTCCTCACTCATCAGTGCCTTTGAAAGTAGACTAATTGATTCTGTGGAGGTCCTTGCGAACATTTGCTGAAAAAAGTTCATAATGATTTGAGCTCAATTCTTCAAACTAAGTGAATAAGGTTTTTTTTAAATTTTCTATCATTTTTTTTTTCGTTTGACAGCTCACAGTCTTGTATCTTGTGTTTTGCTAAGTCAATTTTTTTAAGTTAGAAATGCAAACACAGTAAAGTAGACTTGTTAAACCTTTTGAGTCACTACATCGTAAAGCACCAACTGACAGCACTGGAATGATAATGATGTATTAAGGGAAGGAATAAGTAGTTTATTCAGGCAATGCTAACTGTTGTGCAGAAGTCTCAGTTTGCCGTGGCTTGTAAGTGACCACAGCTCCTGCAATTCCCGTGTAGTGAATGAGTGAGAATGACTTGACTGAATGATTATAAAATCCACATCGTTCATGAATATTGCATAATATTTTGTCGTTTGTTTTTGTTACTGAAGAACTAGCAACCAAGAAGAACCCAAGTCATGGTTACAACAGCATTTGGAACAAGAGCAACAACAACAGCAGCAACAACAACAACAACAACAACAAGTACAGCAACAGATCCAACAACAGCAGCAGCAACAACAAATCCAACAGCAGCAAGCACAACAAATCCAGCAGCAACAAGTACAACAGCAAATTCAACAGCAACAACAGATCCAGCAGCAGCAACTACAACAGCAATTGCAGCAAAAGCAGCAGCAAGAGAAGCAGCGGCAGTTTCAACTGCAGAGTCAGTTCGTACAATCAAGACAAGAAAATTCTAATGTCGTGTCGTCGTCTGACAAACATACCCCTAGTGCCATTTTTAGCTCTGGTAAGTTTCGCGTCACCACTTGAGAGTGAATTGATGAAAAAAAATATAGCAGTGGAAGTTTTTTCATTCAAGTATCAAATATATTTTGATGACTTCATTCTTCAATAAATTAGTTCATAAATTGTTTAACGTCCAGGGTAGGAGGGGGCTCGGGGAGAGCGTTATGCCATTTTGTTTTTACGAGTTAAAGGATAGGGACTTACATCACAAAAGCATTATAAGGGGACGGGGGTCCAAAAATGGTGTAAAATTTGTGAACGTTCCCTAAATTGAGTGAAAAAATAGTGGCCACTTTTATGGGTATGATTGTTACAAATTTTTAAACACTTCCACATTGTCAATTTTTCCAAGTTCCATGCATTTTAGGTATCATACCATTAAGAAATTGCTTCACATTAGAAAATAATTATGAAATTGAATTTGGATAAATTGGTTTGTAGCCTTTAAATTGTTTTCAAAAGTTTTGATTTTCTCTTACAATTTTCAAGTTCCTGAGTGAACCAAATTCTGGGGAAATGTTTAAGTACTTAAAATTCCCCGAATTTAGGAAGTTTTAGTGTGATTGTTTTATCACAATTAAACTATATTTTTCTCTTAACACTAATCGTTTGAAGCAATTTTAATTTCTCATAGATTTCGAAAATGTATAATTGAAATAACTAAAATAAATCCTTTAAAATAAAAATTTTTATTTCCATTAATTTGTGCATGTGTATTTCTTGCGATGTTACAGAGAAGTCCAGTGAACAGTCCTCGGGTAGCTCAGATCGAAATAAAAATGACAGTGATCTCTCCTATCCAAGTCCGTCAGTTAGTCAAAAAGATGCGCAGTACACTCACTTTGCACTCTTTAACCAGAACAAAACTGACAGTCCTGGAATCTCAAATAGCTCAAATACACGGGACCATGCCGAAGAGTTTGAGACCTTCGTTCTTGCTCCCACCCCTGCTCAATTAGGCAAAGCGCCGCTACAGCGTCGACAATCAATGGGTAAAATTAATTTTTCTTTCATCAAATCATCTTTATCAGTAACATTCACAGGAATTTGCAATTTTTAAATTAAAACATTTGACAGAATAAGGAGAGAGACATGTGGAGGGTTGTCTTCGGATCATGCTAAACACGTTGGACGGACTGAAAAATTCCAAGATCAATTGATATAGTAGTTAGGAAAAGAAGGTATAAGAAAACAGGACAAATTTTCCAGTAAACCAGTACAAAACAACACCTTTAATAAGCAACAAGTCGTAACCACCTGAATAGTTAATGAAATTTCAGCCTGTAAAGAGCTAATCTGAGGTCAAATAGGCATGTTACAATCTAATTCCAGCCCTGCTAATGCTCTGATCAGTGATAAGTTTAAGTTTCAAAGCTGCCAAGCTTGTCATTGTTATATTTTCTTTTTTCCTTTTCAGCCATGATGTCTTCGTCGTCTGAAAACCAGCAAAGTATGGACGACCAAGAATCCGGAGTTGTTTCGTCTCCATCAACGAAACGTAGTTTCTTCAAGAAAAACACAGAGGACGGACGTGACAGGTACAAAACAAACGTTAAAATTTCTGAAGTATCTTATTTCAAAATTTAAGAAATCAACAAATAAGTTCTAACTGTTTTAAAAACTAGTGTTGAATACCTTATTGTTAAAGAAAAGAACATTTAGAAGTATTCAATAATTATCGGTTTATCATTTCTTCGTTTTTTTTTCTGTCTTTTACCTGGCACTTGCATAATGTAGTACCTCATAGTTAACTGAAAGAAACCCTTGTCCCAAGAAAATATCCTGTTTCTCTCTCAAAGACGGTCTTCTCCCAAGAAATGTATCTGGTTTCAATGGAGTCTGCCAGTGTTTTTGTGCATTGTACAACACAAGTAGTTTATATTTCTTCCTGGTAGTATGCTAATCTCTTAGATCTTTTTATTTTCAGAGTCCTCGAACGTGTTAATTTTGAAAAGAAATTTTCGTCGTTACCTGAATTCAAACCTGAAGATTGTCAGTCTCCAAGTGCCATTTCTGTGTCTTCTAGTCCGCGAGTTTTTAATCAGAATTTAAGGAAAAAGCAGCAGTTAACGCCTTGTCTTTCTGGTAGGTGTACAAGAAACAACATTCTTTGATAGAAGTCATTTTTTTCCCTTCTATTTTTTTGTAATACCACTATAATTATACTAGGGGGCTACGCCCCCTGGCCGCTACGCGGCCCAACCCCCTGAATGGGCCGCTTCGAGGCCCTATTTTTACCCTCCTATCGGTGTTAGTTTTATTTTTCCCCTAAAAAATTACGATATGAGATATACTTTACTTTTAGAATATAATACTTTTTGGTTTTGATGAATAAAGAAACACATTTTGTTTTTTTAAGTCCAAAGGACGCGTTTTGGAATGACTGCTTGATGAAATATTTCAGTAAAACAACGATCATTGATAATCAGGTAATAATTAAGTATATCGGGATGTAGGAATCGAACCTACACCATGGTCTGAGTGGACGCTTCCGACGTCTTTGACGACTCGGCCACCGCTCGTCTTGACGGAATTAGAGCGAATCTTGTGTAGATAAGTGTAGAGCTGATGCGCAGGCTACACAGCTACTGCGCAACCTCCTTGACCACTGCGCATCCTCCCGCGCATAGCGGTAGCAGTCTCGGAGCATTCTGAAAATTCACTCACTTATATAACGTGATTGTAAAAAAACCTGGGTCCTATTTCCAAAATCTGAATAGAGCGGGCTCATCTAGGGCCAATTACCCGTCGATTACCGCAAAAAACTTGGAAATCGGCCCGGTAGAACGCTCAAACGAACTATGACAAAAAGTATAAATTTACATTGTTTAAATGGGAGAATTCGCAACTTTACCACTTAATATAAAAAAACCTAGGCCATATTTTGAAAATCTGAAAAGAGTTGGCTTATCTAGAGACAATTGCCCGTCGATCGCCGCAAAAATCATGAAAATCGGCCCGGTAGAACGCTGGAACTAAGCGTTACCAGTTTCGCAAAATTAGGAGGTCTTGGAGCTTATAGTATAGATTTTAATATATTCTCAGACTTTATGGGTCTCTCAAAACTTTTAATTATCAAGTAACATTATCACAATAATGAATCGCCATAAGCAGATATAAAGTAAAAAAAAAAAAAATTAGAAAGGAAATGGGTGGGAGAAAATAAGATGTATGACTGTTTGAATCTGAATCAACTAGCAAATAAGTAAATAAAAACAGAACGGACAAGCAAAATAGTGCAAAAGTGGGAAGAGCTAGCTAGTAATAGCAATTGAAGACGACTCCTATTGCTAATAGGAACTCAGATTTTAATTTAAGATGAAGGCCAACATTGCCCCTGACAGAGGCCGGTATAAATGGTACACAAGTGAGGGAAGCTAAATTTCGAGAAAGTCCAGGGTGACCAAGTCTTGCGGTTTTTCTCCATTAATCGGCAATAAAAAACTTGCCAAAATTCCCTTTGTATATGAGACACTTGATAGAATCAGAGGAGAAATTTTATCTCTCAGGAATCTGACTTATATATCAAGATTCCACTGTACAAGTATTTGAGTTGTGTGATAATATATTACACACATTGTCCTAAAGTGGGGTTGTATCAGAAAATTATTAAATTTCACTGGTGCCACTCTTCAAATCAGGACTCAAAAATTTTCTCAGTAGTTTTTGTTGTAAACCATGATTTGCAATAGTGAACTTCACCATTGAGGTAACGTTGCATCTGTTTCTTTGATTTCAGAAGATGAAATGGTACCTGAAGTCTCTTGTGGTAGTGCAAAGCAGAGTACCAAACTCACAGGGAACACATTCTTTGGTCCCAATTTCAACCTGGAGGCATTTAAGAGTAAGTATTTTTTCTAATTTGAATCTTAAGAAAGAGTCCTTAATCCAATTCGGTCATCTGCAAATATTTTTTAATTTATGAATTAATGGCAGTTTCGTAATTGCAAATGTCCAAAACTTTAAATGCAATTGATTCAATAAATAAGACTTTCAGGAGAGAATTAAAGTCAGTAAGACTCAATTCTATGCTAAATCTGTTTAATTACTGCTTATATTTCTGCCTCTCAATAAAATGTGAATGTGCAGCTGTCAACATTTTGTAAAGTTTTCTGAAGTATTAAATTTAAAATAAGAGGAATGTACTTGCAAAATACTTCAATACTTATTTTATTTTTTATTTTATGTTTTCAGTATTTCAAATTTTGCATCACTAATTTTTGCAGGAATTCTTTTCTTTATCTGACTTTTAGCAATTTTTGCGAAGATGGGTCAGATTTTTGTTATCTGAGTCTTAAGCAGAAAATGACGCGTGAAAATCTAACTTGGAAAAAAAATAACAAAAGCAAAATAAGTATGTTGCAAATGTCGAGGTACAAAACCAAATTTGGTAGTATTTGTCAAGGAAAGACAGCCACTGAAAAACTTACCAGTCGTGATTGCTTCATCAATTTCAGATGTTATGTCGAGTGAAGCGTTAGACTGTGCTGAGTCTCCTAGAGGTCCTAATGAGGAGTCGCCCCCGAAAACACCGGGAGGTCGAGACGTCGAGAAAGGCCATCGGAAAATCCTGGAACAGCGGAGGCAACTTGTCATGCAGTTGTTTCAAGAGAAAGGCCTTTTTCCAACAACGCAAGCTACCTCAGCCTTTCAGGTAATGCTTCCGTCCTGAGTATCTCAAATTCTTAGAGTATCTTAAATTTAACAAGGAAAAACTTAGAAACGCATGCTTCAAAAATTTTCCCTCTGAGAAATTCATGCTCATGAATGCATTTGAAAAAAACTGCATATCGAGCACCTCATGCTGTTAATGCTTTGATGAATTAGCAATTGTCATTAAGTGGAAATCGATTGGTTTCTGGAAAATTCTGCTAGGTTCCTTCTTTATCCTCATCTCTGTACCCCTAGTTTTTGTACACTTACGTTTGAATAAATATTAAGAGCCAGAAGATGATTTTTTTTTCCATCAAGAGGGCATGGAATACCAAGAAATTCCATGTTGGCTAAATTTCATTATTATTTCATATGTATGATGTTCTTTACGACCTCCTGGACACAATGAGTTTTTAAAATCAAACTTTCTTTTTGCAAGTGAAGAGGAAAGTGAGGCTGAAGAGTCAATTCTTGGGTCCACTTACACATGTTTTCTTATGTAGGTGTTGGACTGTGACTACATCCTTGCAGATGATGCTCTAGGCTCAGTTATCTTTCAAAGCAATTTCAATTTTTTAGTATGTCATTTCTTCCCGGTCTGCAATAATTTGGTTCACTATAAATCATGAGGAGATGGGGTCTTGAGAGTAGAGGCATTTTGATCATCTTTATAGTGGGCAACCGTGAAAAGAGGGGGAATTGCTTTCCTCCGGAGACACTCAGCTTAATTTTTATGAGAGACTTTTCTGTCGTGTACCTAATTCTCATCTTTGCATTTATCTTACAGGTGCAGCACTCAGATATCTTTCCGAACAAATCCTCCCTTCAGCTCAAAATTAGGGAGGTGCGTCAAAAGTTGATGGCTCATCCGTCTGCTTCTGCTACCATTAGCGCAAGTCCTGACTCTTCGCTTTCTACCATTCCAAGTGAGTTACGACTTAATAATTATTAAAAAAATGGATCTGAAAGTTTCTCACAATCGCACAATTTCCGCATATCTGCCGATGAGTTCTTACGAACACTCAAAACCTACCTCTCTAAAGACGGTTGCTTCGAAGGGAACAACAAGAATTCTGCTAGTACCTAGCGCGCGGGCCTCATCTTTCCATTTAAGCTCTTGGCTCTGTTTTGCACAATGCCATCCAAATCGTAAACAACTTAGCTGTTTTGTGCCAACAGAAAGAGAAGAGTTGCATTTAAAAAATGTTAAGCCCTGAACATGGTGGGCCAAAATTTCAAGTGCCTTTTTCATGCTTCTGCTCCCTTTGAAGTTTGAATGCATTCCTATCTAACATGTGCCTCTCGCTCTTAACTTTTACCCATTCGTCTTTTCAAAAAACTAGGTGTATATGAGTCCTGGTTACCTAGTCTCATTTAAATATCAAACTTTTGTTGTGCTCCATGTTTTATTTTTTACCCTTGAACGATGAATGTTGGATTATTAATCAACTGTTTTATTTTTAATAGGTTCTTCAGGAAATACTCCATCGCAGACGACTGCGATAATCCCTGCCTCTTCGAGTTAGCCTTGAAGCGGTTCGTTGTTTTTGTCTCTTGGACAACGCCTTTTCGTAATTATGTCACCAGTCTTTCATTGCCTCAGCACTTGTAAATTTTAGCTCTAGAATATTCAATTATTACTTAATCACAATTCGTGCGCTCCCTAGTTTGTTCGTTTCAATCATCCATTTATTTTGTCCGTGAAATTAATTGTTGAGATGTTTAGCCTGAACAGAATCAGCGCTGGGACGCCTCAATCAGTGCATAGCTGTAATTTGCAAAATTCGATGGTAATGGAAATTTACCATACATCAGAATCTCCAAGGAATCCTAAAAAATTGCTTTGGAACTCTCCTCATTTTCAGTGTTTTTCAAGAAGGTAAATGCTTCACATTGACAGAAAATCAAAGTATTTTTCAGTATATTTTTGCCAAAAAGTAATAAAGGATGACCATCTTAATATCGACTGATAAATCTATAAACTTGTCAACTTTGAAAAATTTGTAACCCTCCCATATTTACAGTAGGGGACCAATGATTTAAGTTAATACCTTGTCATAGTTGATTGGGTCTCTGAAAAGTCAGAATATCTGTTGTCAAAGGAATAAATTGGTCCTCCTGATTCCTAGGAAGATATTGAAACATGCGTGCATGCAGTATTGCATTTATGTGTAATAGAAATTTACTGTGAATCATCAATTTGTCCAGGTTGGGTTTTTCTCTCTAAGTATATAAATATACAATCTCTATTTTGAAGAAATTCATATAAATATATGCTGAAACTTTGCACTAATTACGGTGAGCACAAATAGTTCAGCGCTGGTTTTGTTCAGAATATTTTGTAAATGAGAAGGTCTCTTTTATTGTTTTACTATTTACTGTTATTCGTTGTATATTGACTTATAGATAATTATAGAGTTTATTAATCTTATTTTGTTTGAATCAACTTAATCATGATATTTTTGGAGTCAGTACAATGAAGTTTCGAAAATTGAGAAACTAGCTTTTGACAAATTGTTACTGTATGATAAAACTTTGGGCATCAAAAAATTGAATGTTTTCGATCACCTTATTTCAAATTTTTTCGTTATTCTTTTTACCAGCTTTTTTTTCTATCGTACTTATTAATTACCTTGCTCGAAGAACATAATGTTTTCATCCAATTTTAATATCAGACTCCATTAATTCCAAAGTACATAGGTACTTAATCATTTATATTTCGAGTAAAATTATTAACATGCATGAATTGCAGAGTGAATGGTCCCTTCTTTTCTCACAGCAAAGATTTCAGGCCCTATAAATTGAAGAAAAATTGCCTTCCATTGGGATAACATGAATTTTTCAAACGGTTTATTTCCCAGGAAGAATGTTGCAGAAGGATGTAAAACGCCATGAAATTTAGTTCATCATTTTATTAGAATTATAATCTAATCTTTTGCCTGAAACTAGCATTTCTTCAAAATTCAAATTTATCTCTCCACATCCGGACTCTATTATTAAGCAAACGATCATAATTTACTCTTCCTTTTACTCCTCTTTATTTCTGTCTGTATTAGCAGATCATCCTGAACTTACTTTGACAGTGGTAGCTATTTAATTTTCAAGAATTGAAATAATTTATTATGATAAGTACATTTATTACAGCATGAAAAATAATTGTTTCAATTTTAATTTTTACCCATCAACCGCATATTTTAAAAATCATATTTTTTTCCCGATAGCAAAAATTAGAGTTATCAATTCCTGTAATTTTTCCTCGTTCAAATTGTCTCCACATACACTGACTAACAGTAAAAACTCAATTTTCTAAAAATGTTGGAAGCAGATATTCCCTCTATTTCCGGTTCTCTCCCACTCCCCTTAAGATGAAATTATTTGAGAACATCTCACCGCTAACACTTATCATGAAGGCGAAATGAAGTAGTTGGAAAAGTGTTCATGTTCGATGCCATCCATGTTTTTTTTAAATATTTTAAACTTAATTTTATTCTGTTAATTGTTGTTTATTTGTATTAGGTTCAAATATCAAGTCCAATAGGTATCCACCTTTTTTTTTTTTCTTATCCACCACCTTATCTGTCACTTTGAGTCAAACAGTCAAATTTCTCAAGTCCCTCTCATCTTAAAGACGTCTCTCAGACAGTCATTGTGCTACTTTTCTATATCATAGCAATATTAACTATAACCATAGTTTTTTTCTCACTGACAAATCTTCATTTCGGTACGTCGAACTGCTGTTCTAGGGTCCAAACTCAAAACATTGATGTATTAATCAAATGGAGGTATGGAAATGAGTTTTACTCGTGAAGATTCTTTGTTTTTATATTCTTTAAATTTATTTATTTTCTGTAAATTATTTAGACTTAAACTTGTTTCACAGAAATATTCGGAAGTTTAGTGTTGTCCCAACTTACCAAGATCATCCAAGTACCTGCATGTTTTGTGTTTCCTTGGTGCTATTCTTGCATAACCTTCATGGCTGCTCAACAGCAGTGAAAAAAATATCGAAAATTTATTTTCGCAAATTTAAAGATATTGCGGAATATTAAACACTTTATTTTATTCTGTTGGGGTGTTTGATTTAAAGACGTAGAATATAAACAAAAAAATTGATAATAATTTCTGCGTTTGGGAAGTTCCCCCAAATTATGCTTTGCCAACATCCTTCAAGCTGCTTTTAAAGATCAAGACTAAAATTTAAGATAGGCTAAAAATTTTACGGAATGGAAGCGCTAAATGTAGCATGGGCATTTTGCAGTTTCATTACGACATCCACAACGTTTTCCCTGAAGAAGGAACAAACTTTAATACCTAATCAACTATCTTGCTGAATATCTCTCATAATTTGTTATTTATAAAATATTTCCCAATGTTCACTTTTTTCCATCAGTTTTCTCTATGAAAAAAAGCAGTGATGGAACTTTAGAAACTATGGGATTTAGGAATGTCCTTTCTTTATTCAGAATTTCAATTTTTTCCCCTCGTCTTCCTCTCAATTGACGAAAACATAATTTGACCATCGATTTGTTTGAATGTTGGTTCTCACTATCAAGCAAATGCAGAATCATTGCGTTTAAAAAAGGTTGTTGAAAAGTTGTTTTCATACAATTCTTTATGTAATCTTTTTCGGAAAAATAGGGGATTAGCAAAATGTTGCAAATGAAGTATGCATCATTCTTTCTCAGAAGGCATATCATGCTGTAAAATACTTTGAACGCTCTTGAAGAGAAGTTCTAAGGATGGAGATTTTTTAGAACGTTCCAGAACTTTAGTATGTACACAAAAAATTGGCGGCCAAGCTCTACAATTCGTAAACCAAAAGCTGAATTTTTGTCTCTGTCATTATAAAACACATTTTGGTTTTTTAACCACCAGGCAATTTTATTTTGATGTGGTTTCAGCAGCAGAATATCTACCATAAATCCCTGTATCCACCTTCTATTTTATTAGATCAACCATCATTATGTGTTTTTTTAAAATAATTAATGTGAAATTTGAATATCTGTGAACGCACAATTTGGTGTTTGCTAGTGCTTTCCATTACGTTTTGTACATATAGATAAAATCTGAGTTGCTGCAAGGCTTTTAGTCAGATAAGTCATAGCCAGCTTTTGATATTTTCCCAATGGATATCTGTGCTTGCCACTTAATCATGTTTTACTGGTCGAAACTCTAAGATCGACATTGAATCAGATCTGCCCGAAAGCAAAGTTCCTCAGTTGTGTATGATCAGAGAATACCTTATGAAAAGATGTAGAATGACGACCTACTATCTTTAGATCATTCTGTGATGTCTGTATGAAAAGCTGCGTGAAGTTTGTTCAACACTGATGGACAAGAGCAAGTCATGACATCTGTTAATGCAGTGAATAAAAACCTCTATCATATTTCATCAAATGTAAAATCACAGTTACTATTGCTTGCGAAAAACTTGGCATTGGAAATTATCTTTCCAATTTGTAATTCATCTTTAAAATCCAACTGTCGAATACAATTCTGTATACGCACAACTGACCAGGTTTCGGCTTTTTTGATTGAGTCTCTTCCTCTGGCAAAAGTTAGACATAGAATCTTTTACAGGGAGGGGAAGTTCTGGAAAGTTCAGTAAACTGAAGTTATCATCCGATTCGTCAGGCTTGCTAAGCGGATCGTAAATACTGTCCTTAGACTTGGTGAAGCCCTGTCTCAAAGTGTGAACAAAAAATTGGTAATGCTTGATTACAGTTACTATTCCTTGTACTAAAACGCTAAATTGTTGGAACTCAATTTTTCTCTCATTTGTTATTTTATTTTATTTATAATATTTTATCTTTCAACCTTCTCTTTCTTATTGTTTTGGTCTCTCTGATGATCATTAAAATCGGTTGCTGATTTTAGACCTCATGTTCCCTGAAATAAATCAGCTGGACTGTTGGTACTCAAAGGTATTTTTCCTATCTTGCTTTCTTGTAAATAGAATAGCCAATTGTCGTTATTTTTAATTAAAGGGGGTGTGAAAGATTATGGAGCTTAATTCCAAAAGTTTTTAGTTACTCATGACCAGATTGAATTTCTCTTTTTCTTCCTCGAATGATATATTTTTACCGAATGATCGATATGTGATGAACTTGGTCGAATGCCGCCAAGATAACTCCTGTACATAACTTAAGAAGTTTAGTTGTTTACAAATCGAGATTTATTAAATAATTCTGTTTTTTCTTTCTTCTTCTTTTTTTATCACAAAGTTATTATTTGAAATGTGCAATTAAGATTTTGAGCTTTTGACAAGGAGGGAAAATGGAAAATTGGCTTAAAATGTTTTTGAATGAACTTATTTTATCGTCACAAATGCCAAATTTCCTGAAATCTCCTCGAAAATTTCAACATGACTAGATTTAAAATTTTGAAATTTCAGTATCAGCATTTTCTGAAATGCTGTAAGAGCTCAAGGTTTTCGCCAAAAGAAAAAAAAATTATGAATTGAGGTTCTCTGCAGTTATTTGAATCCCTTAATTAAAGTCTCATGTACATATAACTAACTAGGTATTTAATACTTCCTTCAGTTGTAAATATTCTACCCATGATCGACAACCCTTGTCCTCGAATCAAAAAGTGTATCTATATTCCCTCTGTTGTAATAAAAATATCTGCGCTCTTCTACTCACGCTGTTTTTATATTTTTTACCCTTAACCCGACAAAGGTAAATCTTTTCTTTCAAAAAAGAAATCTTGTGAAGTGTAGGAAATTTCAGTTTTTTGCCAATGCATTTTTTAATCTCATTTCAGGGACTTGTAGATCAAGGGACATAAGTGCAGTTTCTGAAAAAATTAAGGTACTAACTATTTCAAGTAAAACTAGACTTATTGTATATCCTGTGAAAAATTCGCTTTCAAAATCCAACTTTTAAGCATTAAGCATCAAAAAGTCAGTTCCAATTTTTTTTCGCCATAAAGATTCATGTATTATTGAAACTTCTAACTTGTATTTCTTGAAATAGCAAAAATTGCATTTATGCGCTTTAATCTCCAAGCCCCTCATTTATGGACTCAGATTTGTCCTAATTTTGTGAAGCTTACCTATATTCATGGCGAAGAGCCCTAGTCATGGTGCCCTGAGAACATCACCTTCTTCGTGAGTGGTCTTTCATGGCTGTGTATCAATGTAAAAACAAGGAAATGGGAATATCATCTCCAAGGTTTTTTTTATCCTAGCACATTAATGAAAAAATTACCTTGATCAACCCTTAGATTCTTATCTCCATAGCTCTGCCCACACCTGCTGAAGCTATGATAAAAACAGGAGAAGATCTCTGAAGATATTGTGGCATTCATTAACAGGGCAAATAAATTGGATAAATTTAGCCTAAGTGCATTTCATGTTGCTTAATTTCATCTTGTGTTCTATTTAGTGACCAGAGAACTAAGGTACCTATCAAAAATATCTTCATAAAATTTCAAATTAGAACGTTACTTACTTATTTCATTAAAATAGTAAAGTAAGAGGAAATAAGGCGAAGCCTGGTCTAGTCATACCTAATAATTCTGATCAGTGCCATACTATTGACTCTCTCAGCAAACGAAAATGAGAGACCTTATCCATATTATTTCTATTGCCCTGATACATTCACGGAGAAACTGCTGTTTTGAGCCGTACCTACCCATTTGGACTCGCCTGGCAAACTAAAGGGCTAGACTTACTCCATATATTTCTCCTGTCCTGGTACATTCATGAAAAAACTACTGTCATGAGCCATACCCAACCTCACATTTACATGAAGACATCAGTGAAGGAAAGACTTCTAGTCTCCGGATGAACATTAATGACATTAACATGCGAAAATCCTCATTTTTGCGACTACCAGAATGGATGTTAGTTTTGTAGCACTAATGGTCAGTGTACGTCATTTAACCCGTTGCCCAGCTGACAAAAGAGCATAGCTACACATGAAATGAGCCTGGAAAAGCATTAAGTAGTGGGGACGATAGGGTTCACTGGAAAGTGTAGTTACGCACTTATGCCAGGAAGGAGGGCGACGAGCTGACTCGCCTCCATAAGGTAGCAGAAATACCACCTCTATGTGTCTTCTATTCTACAGGGTTGCCGCAGAATTTGGAAAATGAAATTCCCTGACATTTCCCTGACACATTTGGGTGAAATTTCCTGACAATTGAAGATATGGCAAATGGTTAAGAAGACATAATTGAAAATAGTTTTCAGGCAAAACTTGCAGTTCGAAACCTCAAACCCATTATAGAAAGCAAATAAAGAAAATATTTAACAAATTTTCCCTGACATGTTCGACATTTTCGTCGTTTTCCCTGACATTTCCCGGTTTTCCCTGACTTTTTGAAATTCCCTGACATTTTCCGGTTTTCCCTGACTGTGGCAACCCTGATTCCAATAAGAATGAGGAAAAAATTGATCTGATTGATGGTTAACACAGTGGAAGATTGACAGATGGGTTAAACTTGCTAACAGTAAAGCTCGAATGGTAGACAGCTTGAGCTTGGAGTACTATTGGTGGTAATTCTTAATTATTTAGAGGTAATATTAGCGTAACTGCTGACAGCAACTAAGGTAAAATTTTTGTATGTAGTTTTCACCAGTGAGTGACAATGGTCGCCATAAATTTGATGATAGAGTATTTTCATCACAGAAAACACTGATCCGTGATAGAAATTTTTGAAACATTTATACTTCATGCATTGCTTTGACTTGTATTGCTCATGCGTGTATAACGAAACTACTGTTGTGCCTATAGATAGATTTCTTCTACCTAACAATGTTAGATTTCAATAGACCTTCAAATCTTTGTCACTCCTAGATGCAAGTGTAGCCTATTCCGATGAGGAAAAGAAAAAACTGACAGTTAGTAGTCGATGCTGGTCTTTGGTTTTAATTTTATTTATTTAAATCCTAACAAAAATATTGTACAAACGTAAACAGTTACAAAATACAAAAGTCAGTTGAGGAAAATTAAGTAGAATAAAAATATAGGGCCATTCTACTTTGATAGAGATAAAAAAATTCAGAGTAAAATATTTGAGTTACTAAAAAAAATTATGCCGAATACACAGCCCAAGTAGCTAAATGTATTATAATTGATAAAAATTCACATCCAGTCTTGAAGCACACAAAAGCAGCAAACTCATGATTATTTCACACCTCCGTAAATTTTTTATCAACTCAAGTAGAGAGTTCTCAGGACAGATAATAAGTTTGGTTGCTAGAAAGACCAAAATATATTAATCACCATCAAACACAAAATTTTCAGGATCAAGAGATTACATTGATCACTGCTAACTCAAAAGATTTAGGTCTTTTCAATTTTTTTATTCCACAGAAATCTTCCAGAAAAATTTGTCTTATGGTTAGACACCAAGAGCTCTCAATTAATGAGAGCCGAGGAGCTTCAAATTGCTACATGCTCTCTGTTCAATTACTTTTTAACAAAGAGAAACGAAAGAGAAGTCTTCTTATATTTTTACTCTTGTATCGACAAATCTTGATGGACAAAAAAGTTGACGGTGTGTAAATAACAGTCATTCTAGAAAGCACACGAATTTGCGATTATTCTGAACTCATCAACGGACCCTCATAAATCAATAATGCACATATTTCTTTTCATAGTACATAATATCAAACAAACAATAAAAGTCTAATCGGTATCAATCTAAAATAAAAATTTCAACCAATTTGAGCAGTATGCCACAGAAGCAAAAGCAAACAGGAGTAAAGTCTAGTAAAATTTAAAATTGTTAAGCAACGTAGAAAAACAGAGACAATATAAAAAATTTAAAATTTATAGACAAGGAATAAAAAAATTGACTACTACGCAGTCAGGCTGAAGAGAAACTGACAGCTTCGAACAATATCTGTAGTTTACATCTTACTCTGTTCAAATTGTTTACAATAAGATACTATTATTATTTCTGTTTCTACTTTCAATACAGTCATTGAGCCATTCATGGAATAATACTGAATTTAGAATAATGCTTCTTGAAATCAGAATTCTACTCTTCTGCCAAAAAAGAGATAAAAAAACAAAAGAGGAGCGGAGAACTCAAAACCAATTATGTAAGACATAGCTAAGTTTTCAATTGAGGATCAACAATTAATATATATTCATGCTTAATTCCAATTATTTCGCAATTTCAACTTAAATACAATTCTCCCCCTACTAGCCTCTTGGCTTGTGACGGGAGACTTAGGCTAAGACAAAAGTATGGCCAAAAGTTTCTTGTCGAACAAATACAAAAAAGTGGAAAATCAGGTTTTTCATACCAAAACTAAGAGTAAAATTTTGCTTGAAGCTTCATTTACATGCGTTAATTACTGACAACATTGGGTTGAACAAACTAATTTTGACCTAGCTGAAAGAAGCCCAAAGATGTTACCAATCTCATTTGAAGTGCCTTAGTTTCCTTTTTTGGTGATTTCAGAATACCTGGTAAATTTGACGGTAGTTGGTGAACCACCTTCAACAGCTCAAACTACTTTTGACTAATTTTCAATTTTGCTTAACTAGTGCAGCAGAACTTCAGCAGAAGTTGGCCTAAGGGAGAAAATCTCTGAACCTTGAGACTTGCTGAGGGAACACGAGGATACTGAGAAAAGTAATTTCATTATATTTAAAAGCTGATTCATTGGTACAGTTCTCAAATATTATTAGAGACGAGGAAAAGTTGACTACTCGAATTCTTTCATTACATGTTAGAAAGCGATAGTTTACTTAGGTTTCTATGTTTCTTTCAAAAAATTACACTCTTGTTGTTAGACATTAGTCTATATAATTCACAAGATGGATGAAGATAAAATCCTTTGGAATTTTGAATCACAAAGCTCGGTTCCACAATGTTAAGTTTCTCTTTTAAGTACTTCATAGGAGGCGTAAAAAGAGGGGAAAAAACCAATGCAGGGTCTGAGCTTAGCAACTGAGTAGGTTATTTGTAGTTTACCTGATTAAAAGTGCACTTTAAAAGGCGTTCAACAATGTACTTAAAAAAATTAAAAATACGCTCATAGACATAAGATGAAGCATTTACTAGAACTTGTTTCTCATAGGGGAAAGAACATTTTCAATTTCAGCGTTTAAAAAGTTGAACAGGCTAAACATACAGTTTTCACTCTAATTGGTAGACTATAGATTTTTCCTTGATACTGGTGCAACCCTGACACGATTTGATTTCAGATTTAAACCTCACCTGCTCTAGACTAAAAGATAGCAAGCGTTATATTCTAAAGAAATTATAGTCTCATTCTAGAACTCTGATCAATGGCTTCGAAGATACATTCTGAATAGAAACTGACCTGCTAGCAGGCACAAGGAGTAAGTTCTTTGGATTTCAAAATATACAAATTGCATAAAATAAGCTATGATTAGAAACGAGGAAATTCTTCCAGAAAGTGTAGTCAATTTTCATCGTGTGGAGTCTAATCTCTGTACGGTAAGATCCGCACGCAAAAATTGAAAGACTATGGGGAGAATCCAGAAATTTCCACGACTCTACTTAGGATTCCTGTACGAAACAGAAGAATACACTCATGCACCATTAGGAAATAAATAAAAATAAATTATAAATGCTATCAACATATTTAAAATAGGGGTTAGGATGATTCTGTGAAGACCACGTTTACAAGAAAATTAGGTTGAATGAGGGTTCAAAGAAACAGATGTCAGCCACTAAACTATTCATCTAGCAAGATACTTGATGCAATTTTACCAGCATTGCAAAGTAAACAGATCGACATTCATTGGGTCTTAGAAAATAACAACTAACTTTAAATTAACTGGTGGCAACAGATACATTTCCTTCCTGTGCAAGTCGTAATATATATGCCACGCTTGCCTTTTGCTGACCATATTGCCACTGTTTCTAATCAATACAAGATATGCTGCTGAAATGAGGTCACAACCTTTTAAAGAACAAACAGATGAAATTTAAGTATTTATCAGGTCTCAGAGAAGAGAGTACGTTTGAATAAGATGACAGGGGCCAGATTTAATCTGTTCTGGAATTTTCTAGAGTACAAAATGTTTGGAATTGAATAAGGAACAAAAACAAAGTTGAAAATTATCTCATATGATCCCCTAGAAAAATCAATTGTAAACGTGACTGCATAGAGAATAAAGTTGACCCTCTTAAAGGAAGAAGTGAACGAGCACTACTGAAGGTATTTTTGGAGCCCTGACGGGCGGGTCCTCAGTGCTTAAAATTGTTGCGATATAAATTCTACAAATCAACTTTAAAAGTAAAAAACAATTGGGGAGGGGGAAATTTAAAAAAAGAAGGGTTCCAATATCAAAACAATATAAAACAACGTTCAATTTTTAAGACGTTGAGTTTTCTTTCGTATCCATTCCATTTTCAACGACCGTCTCCTTCTTCACCTCGGTTTGATTTGTTTTTGGCTGGGGTCGCCTGATTGGAAGTGGTTTTTGCGGACTGGTAGCGGTAGTTGCAGGGGCAGCTTTCTTTGGATCTACTTTCCTTGTGGCCAGCGTTGTTCGAGCTGTCAAGGTAGAGGGTTTAGCTGGTTCTTTTTTGTCTAGTGTTTTTGAAGGAATACTGATGGGTCGCCTTTGTGCAACAGGAGCGGCAGGGCGCGCAGGCACAGTGGACTTGGCGGTGCTGGGAGCTGGTCTTGCAGCGGTCGTTCTGGGTGCAGCTACGGTTCGCGGCGTCGGTCTTGGAGCTGCTTTAGTTGTAGCTGTAGCAGTAGAGGCTCTAGTGGCAGCCGGAGCTGTTGCTGGCCTTTTGGGAAGCGTTGATGTTGTTGTTCGTGAGGCAACACCATTAGTTAGAGGTTTGGGTGCTGGTTTTGTGGCCGTTGTTGGTCTAGTAGTTGGCGGTTTTGTAGTGCTTGTGCTGGACGCTGGTCGAGAAGATAATGGAACTCTAGGTTTAAGTGTGGAAGTGGCTGCAGGCTTCTTAGCTGCGGCTGCAGGAGCAGCAGTAGTTGTTGTGCTAACTTTTGATTTGAGAAGTGTAGAGGGTGCTGCTTTTGCTGCTACCGATGTTTTGGCAGGGGAGGCTTTGGATGGAACTGGTTTCTTCGGAGCCGGGGATTTAGGAGTGGGTTGGGTGCTCGTGGTAGGCTTCGTTGTTGGCTTTGACTTTGCGACAGATGGTTTTGACGTTGCGGGTTTGGGCGCACTTGATTTTTTCGTGTCCGAAGCTCCTGCGGCTACTCCAGCCGCTGCTACCGCCGCGACTGCAGCAGCTCCAACAGCTGCAACTTTAGCTGAGGATGGGAATGGCGTGCTGGTTACAGGCTCTGATTGTTCGAAAGATTTCTCAAATTCTTCCGTTAGTTTGTTGACTACATCCTCTGCATTTGAAAATTCTTCATTGACGGTCAAATCAGCGATTAGTGCCTGGTCGTCTTGAATGCCTACATTTTCTGCTTCGGCCTTGGAAACTTCTGATGCTGGAGGTGAAGGTGGTGCAGCAAAAGAACTCTCTGTCAAATGTAGGTTTTCGATGCTCTCTGAAATACCGCTAATTTGATCTGAGAATGGATTTTCCACAATTTTTTCCGGTTCAGCTGGCTCTGGTTTTCCTTCATAAGTCACCAAGTCTTCTGTTGGTTTGACCTCCTCAGTCTTAGGTGCCGAGTCTTCAAATGCAAAATTATCAGAGACTTCAATAACTCTATCGAGCTGGTCCAGAGTTTCTGGTGGAATAGGAGTCAAATTCGAGACAATTTCGCTTTCTTGCTTTGGAGTGATACTATCTATGAATGGATTCACGCATGCATCCTTCGTGACATCCTCTTCAGGCTTTTGTAAGTTATCGCTTATGTTGTTTGTTTCCGTAAAATCTTGTGCAGAATTTTGCTCCGTGTTTGAGCTGAAAAAATCTTGAGCTGAGCTGATTTCATTGGAATAGCCAGGTGGTGCAGGGCTGATCTCTTCGGTCTTGACTGGAATATCAAAAGGATCTGTTAATTCAGTCCTACTTTCTACAACAACCGGTTCACTCTTCATTTCAAAATCAAACCGTGGCTCTGTTAATTCAGTTTTACTTTCTACAACAACCGGTTCACTCTTCATTTCAAAATCAAAACTTGGCTGTTTTTTCTCAGGTTCCTCTGTGTTTCCAAAACTTTCAACAAAATCATGCGGTCCAGACTCTTCCGTTGGACCAGCATGTTGCTCCGTAGGGATATCAGTAGATGATGAAAACACAGAGTCACTCTTTTTAACCGCTTCTAATTCTTCCTCTTTAGATTCTACGACTACGTCCGGCGAAAACGCCAGTTCCGCCTTAGATTCCTCTTTACATTCAAGAGGCACTGTGTCTGGTGAAAACTCTAACGTGCCTTTTAGATGGCTGAAATTATCTTTTCGACACTCAAAGCCTCCTTCAGTAGCAAAAGGATTTTGTGCTTCACCTGCATTCTTGGGAGTTTCTGAGGAATTAAATGATTCAGAATTTGGTTGTATTTCCAGGTTAAATGGATCAGCATCCACCGTTTGTTCATGATCTTTCAATTCATTGGTTTGATTTGATGCACTTTCAAGGAGAGAGAATTCATGTGGCTTTTCTGGGGATATTGCAGAGTACTCTAAATTGTTGAACTTTGAATTATCGTCTGGGTCTAAAAAGTCGTCCGATTTTTCAGCTGATATGTTGGAAAGACCACTAATATTGCACAAGCCATCCGTAGAGAAGTCTTCTAGAGCGGAGGTGAAGGCGGAGTTTCTCGTTTCGTTTGCATTTGCAATGGTCGAGGAAAGAGAGTTTGATAGTGGTGCCTCGCTGGAGATACCGGTTGAAAGCTCATCGATGTGATTCTGAAGCAGTAAGTTTTTGTCTCCTTCTGCAAGACAGTCTACTTCTTTGGTCCCTTCGAAGTTGTTTGTATGGGTGGTGTCATTTCCAAATCCATTGGTAGGCTCGTAATCTGCAAGAGGGAAAAATAATAAGATACAGTTCTTGTAATGAGTGACAGTTAAACATTTTTGAAAGATTTCACATTGATTAAATAAGTTTGATTGAAGATGTTCTTTGGTTACTTCTGACTTTCAGCTAATGTAATTTTGGGCATCAGGCTAAAACTGCATGAATAATTTAAGGCACAATTAATTAGCTAAGATTTAAAGCTTTTGTAAACTGTAGAATGGAGTGGAAGTTATTCTAAATGATGAGGCCACCTGAGCTGCTTACGGTCAGACCTCCATTCTTCGGATTTCAAAGGACCTGAGGCCGAATCCCTCATATCACGCTAGTGAGTCCCACTGAAGGGAATGGAGGACCGAGCCGTTAAATCGCGGAATCCTTTAAATCGCAATCCAATAATTTGAGGTCTTACTGTATTTGAAGAATTGGCTCTAAAAAACTATTTACGCACTATAAATGGACGTATTTCTACCAAGCGGAACTTTGTGCATTAAGACATGACCCCTAGAGACCCATAAGAATATATGCATGACAGGGCTCACGTCATAATGCACATAGTTCCGTTTGATAGAAATACATCCAAATGTAGGACACAAATATAAAAAAGAAACTTACTTGTATTTTTTAAATCACAGACAGAGTTTTCGAAGAATGCAGACTTGCATGCATCAGGGGAGAAAGGCACATTATTTGTAAGTCCAGGATTTGTTTCCGAGACTGAGGAACTCTTCTCGACCGGAGAAGTAGGCACAAATTCTGCAGCATTAGGGTTCAGAGCATGATCCAGATTATCAAACTATGACAAAAAACCAAAACCAAAAATTTAGTGAAGAGCTGAACAGCTTTGGACTTTTCTTTAAAAAATGATCAGGTATGAAAAGGAGTCATTGTTCACAATGAGAAATTAGAACTTGATTTATGTACAAGCTAGTGGCAATCAATTTTGATGTAGAGGAACAATGTTGATCTATTTCCAGGAGCTTTACCTAGAAATTTTAACTTTCTTGGGAAACTTTGATTCCTATCTAAGACTTGCGAAAGCATTTTGATGAGCTCAAAATGCCTTAAAAATAGAATTTTCAAAAAAAGAACTTGTGCCAATGTGCTCATAGAATCCTCTAAGGACAAGATATTGTAAACACCCATTTTCATTGCAAAAATAAATTGTTCCTAAAGTTTCATTCAATTTAAATTAATATACATAATCCACTTGTACAGGCTAAAATGTAGGTAAAACTCATTTCTAGTCATCACAAATAGGTTTCTTGTGTATCTTGTTGCTAAAATTTTGAGCCTTGTGATATTCTTTCTAGAAAAGGAGAAATTGTGGTTTGGTTTTCGTTTGCAAAGGGTAAGTACTCTTATTTACGCAGGAGGAAGCTTACATGATTATTCAAATCGTTGTGACTAGAGGCATCTTCTATTTTTACATCTCCTTTGGTATAATCCCATCTTTCATCTTCATCATCATCATCATCGTCCTCCTCAGAGTCCCGTTCCAATTTCAACTTCTTTTCTTCTTTCAATGATTTGATGTCTGGAATAATCACTGTAACAAAAATAACGAGGAGAATTGAAAATTAGCTGTTGTTTGGGCTGACTTTTGTTCCAACTCTCCTAAGTGCAGGTGCACAGATACATTATAACATATTCCGTTACTCGTCAGTAAATGGTTGATGAGCACAGACCAGTCAGTTTTAAGTATCAAGTTTTTGTTCAAAAAATGACAAAACATTTAAAGATATTCATCGACTTTTGCTTCATGTTCAACAAAACATAATCAAAGACTATCCCGATGACTAAATTCAAAATCGTAGAGTGAAAATGGAAAGAGAGTTTCACCAACAACACGGCTACGTCGACTGTCATCCTTCATCACACAACTGCTGTCCAAGATGTTATTCATCATGAATACTTACAATTCCACAGCCAGACAATCAACAAAGAAAAAAATTGAGAAACTTTACTGCGCTGGCAAGTGAAAATGTTTGCGTGATTAAAATAAAAAAGAGGGGCTTACATTTCCAAAGCCTCCCCAAATATGTGATCCTTATTGATCTCTTTTATTTCCAAAAACAAAGCTTTCTTTTCGACTTTAAATAGCACAAAATTAAGGCATATTTTTCTTCAAATAAAATTGAAGAACAGGGCTAAAAGCATTTCCACGGGTCTTCTTTTTGGGATGCTATTTTCCTCCCCTAATTTTTCAGAATAAGAAAAGTTCAAAATCAACAGAACATTTTGACGTGTTTTTAGTTAAAATTCAAGAGGGNGGGTTGGTTTGCATCTTCTACAGGCCCTCAATCCGTCGTTCCTCAAGCGAAGGAGCGTAAATCCACACCAAGGTTGCAGAATCGACTGAAGCATCAATGTTTTACAAGAATACACCCATGCAATTTTCGTTCAAAATTTTCCTGATTTTTCCACGAGATCAGAAGGAAAATCAGTGAAATTTTCGATTAGAAATGCACAAGATTCTCTAAGTATAGGTACAATTTGCGAAGGAAAATTTGACAATGTTGAAATGTAGTTACGCTCTTTCGAGGGGGAAACGGCGGATTTTGAGTGCCATTTCACCCCCCTAGTTTGGTGCTGCAAAATTGAATTTAAAATAAATTGCACAGACGTAGGGCTGAGGAAATGGACTCCTTTGAAACACCCTGCAACTGCGTGGACCTTGTGAATTTTCGGACTTGGCGCTGGGTGGAGTAAGAGACGGGAGTGTTGCACGGAAAAAATTAAATTGCTGATTTAACAATTAAATTGCTAAAAAAAAGTGACTGCAATATTTCAACGTAGATTTCACAACACGAAAATGCTACTTCAACCACTATTGTAAGCTAATTTAACCACGGGGGTGGATAAAGTAGCATTTTGTGTTGTGAAATCTACGTTGAAATATGGCAGTCACTTTTTTTAGCGATTTAATTGTTGAATCAGCAATTTAATTTTTTCCGTGCAACACTCCCGTCTCTTACTCCACCCAGCGCCAAGTCCAAAAATTCACAAGGTCCACGCAGTTGCAGGGTGTTTCAAAGGAGTCCATTTCCTCAGCCCTACGTCATAATTTTGTGCCATTTTTTAAAATTCAATTTTGTAGCACTAAACTAGGGGGGTGAAATGGCACTCAAAATCCGCACTTTTTTAGCGATTTAATGGTTGAATCAGCAATTCAATTTTTTCCGTGTGAGAGTGGAATGAGGGCTTACTAGGGTGGTGTGCGTTGGTGCCGTTGACGGCCTCGCCGAAGTCGACGTTGGTCTCGGGGCCGAAGTCGGAGTCGAATTCGCACGGGGATCGGAAGGCGCAGCCGTTGGAGGCGAACATGTTGCCGTTGGGTCCGTTGCCATTGCTGTTGCCGAAGAGGGCTTCCTGGTCCATTGTGGCGGTTGCGGGGGCCTGGGCGTGGGCGGAGGCGGCGGGTGCCCCGCTGCGCTGGGCCAGCGACTTGAGCGAGTGCGACTGCGCGATCACTTCGGGCGGCCGCAGGAACACCACTACCGCGGTTATGTTGTCCTTCGAGTCCTTCTTCGCTAGATGCACCAGCGCCTCTGCTGCTCGCTCGGGATCTGCAACATAAAAAAACGCAATTTTAAAACCAAATTCATTGATTCTAGAGTACCTGTATGGGGGGAGTAGAGTCCCTTTATACTGAGAGTCAAGACAATTTGAATCCATTTCTGATTGGTTCCCGTATTTTAGGCCTCCACAGTGTCACAAACGGGAATAAAGATTACATTTTCACAAATTGCAAAGATTATAATCTGGAATGGACCAGGGAATTACGGGTTCGGCAAGGAACAAACGGAATGAGAGGAGGAACGGAGAAAGGCATTTGAGAATGGGCCGATCAAAGATTACGAAAAACGTTCAATTTCTGTAATCTTTATTCCCGTTTGTGACATCCATGAGCCGAATTGTCTTGACTCTCAGTATAAAGGGACTCTAGGGGGGAGTACCGACAGATCTGAAACTCCGAAAGTCCATCAGGCCTTCACCGATGCCTCCGCGAATAAAGTTAGGGCCCAAAAGGGCAGCCAACCTATGAATTTCAATTATCCAGAGCGATTTACTGATACTATTGTTACGAACCGTCCTTTATTAAGCACGTGTTTGACTCAGTTTTTGCATAAATATACTCAATTTCGCGGAAGAACGCTCATTTCTGTACATTCTTGACCATCTTGGTTAGAATTGGAATCTGCAGACTGGCAGTGAAATTTTGTGCGTTAGAAGTTGGTTAGAAGGGTGGCTGCACGTTTGGGCCCCAAGCCCTCCATGAACCGATCTGTCGGTACTCTCCCTATACAGGTACTCTAATTGATTCCATAGCTCATACAAGGGTACTGGAGCAATGTATGTGTGGGGGATTCGCGATTTGAAACAATGAAACCTCCACGCAGTCCACATATAGTCAGAAATAAGAGGGGGGCGGCCCTCCCCACAATTGGACTTCATTTTGCAATTCGGAACTATAACCTCCGACCCATCTGTAAAAGCACTTATCTGGATAGAGAAACTAATGGTACATACGATGGTTTTAAACTGAGGCACAATTTATAGTTCCTAATTGCGAAATGTAGTCCAAATCTGCTTGGCCCCTTCCAAAAAATGTCATGGACCCAAGAAACTAATTAATCTTGAGGTGAAAGGCACAGGGAATGTAATAAAACCCAACAGTGTTACGTGTTGAATGAACTAAAGCCCACAGTAATATTGACATTTTCAAAACAAGTCAGCAAATCTGTCATCGGTAATATTTAATTCCATTTAATCTGCCATTGAGAATGGCTTAAAAATTGCTCTCGAGACGTTCCAATTTTCAAAAAATTTTCCAAGAAGGCCTCCTGGACCCCCCTCTGCAGATGGGGGACCACTCCCCACCCCCTTGGTCCAGGTTCTATACACCGATGTGCCCGCCCCATAAAACATTCCTAGTTCCGCCCATGAGGGCTCACTGTCGGGCGCCGCCCGACTAGAACCACGCGCCACAAGTTTCAAACCGTCTTCCGTTTCTACCGTAATAGAAAGAAAAAAACATTTCCTGATTGTCAAAATTTAGAATTTTGGACCACGTTTAATTTTTGTTGAAAGAGATATAAAATACGTCGTATGGAAATTTCCCGTGAATATATTTGAAATTATGTAAAAAAAATTGTCAAGAAATTCGAAGAAAACTGCTGGTTAGCTTTATCCTATAGAAATAAAACATGAGCAGAGGTGTACAACGTTGCAATCGGAAAGACACGGGTTCCTCTTGATTGTCGCCATCGATGCTTGACTGCAACTGCGGAAGGCGCTTTGAGATAACTATTCGACCACGGGTGATGTCCATATTGCCGCTAGCTGGAGTTGAAGGCGCGTCATGCTGCGACGATGGCACCCCCACGCTGCGCTACCTATCGTCGCGGCATTGATAGCGCCGCCAGACTTTAGGACTGCACGTCATAATTTTCAGACCCTCTTCCATTTCTACCGTAATTAAAAGAAAAATATGTCCCTTTATTGCAAAATTTTAGAATTTTGGATCACGTATAATCTTTTTTTTCTTTTACTGAAGAACTAACAAAAACATCGCCTCGAAAGTTCCTGTGAATAAACTTGAATTAATTGAGGAAAATATGGACAATGAGGTTTCATTTTGCATAGAACTGATTGTGCAGGGCTCTTGTATGGAATTACCTATAAACTCAACCTATGTACTACCAAATTTAAAAGTTCAAAATGTCATGGTTCCACGAACGGTAAACGATTGAACTGTTTCCGCAACATTGAGTTCGTAGGTCGTTCCTACGAAGAACCCCGCCATTACAAGCCCGATTTCAGTGTCTGCCGAGACACTGAAATCGTCTCAGAGATTGAAATGAGGTTTCAACACTGGTCGAGACCTCATCTCATTCACTGAAAGCGTGCAGCGTCGACACACTCACCGGCGAGTAAATGAAATTCTGAACCGTGTAGATCATTACGTATCGAATTGGATAAACAGCTTGAAAACAACCCGCTTCGCCTCGTGGAATGGTCGATCCGATGGACATAATACTCTATTGTTTCGTCCACACTCTTAAGTGCTTGACCACGGAAGCGTGCTAGAACAAAGGGACCGTCAGATTACCACCTTCCTCAACACCTCCGAATGTGCACCGATCAAACTTCACGATCGCGTATAAGGCCGGGCTCCACTTTACAGCACCATCATCGTTGTGATACAACTGGTGCAAAGAAAACAACTGAAACGATAGTAAGACTGTAGATGCCAAGGCCTTTACCAATAAGGACATTGAAATTTTTTTTTTTTTTTTTTTTTTTTTTTTTTTTTTCTTAAAAAAAAAACTAGTGACTTTTTAAAGACTTTCCCCGGCTGAGTTCACAAGTAATGAAAATTATATCATCTTTTCCCCCGAAAACTGATTGAAGGCTGTCCCCGAGAGGACAGGAACAAAAAAAAGTTACTCTACTGGTTCCTTTAGTTAAAAAATTAATTAATTTCCAAATACTTCCTAGAATTCAGGGTCTGGCTTCCGGATGGAAACCAGCAATTTTTCTTCCCATTTTCCCTCAAATTCTCTTGAGGCGATTGATGATTTAGTCAGCTTTCGAGTTTCGACTAATTTTTCCAGCGCTGAGCCAACGCAAACCGCCAAAAAGAGCAAATCTTTTATGGAGCGGAAATAGAAATAAAATTCCCGGTTTTTTTTCCATGCACTGAAAAAAAAAAAATTCATTAGTTATTATTTTGACTTAAAGCGAGGTTTCTTCTGGCAATATTTATTTTTTAGGTAAAGAAACATCGTTTTGTTATCGTTCTTAAAACTTAAACTTAACAAACAAAACGACACTTTTTTAACTAAAAAAAAAATAACATTAAGGTGAATCCGTGCGGCTTTAACTAAAAGAAATTAAAAAACCAAATTCTGTCGAGAAGAAACGACGCTTTAAGGAAAAATAATGTCTGAAAAAATTGATTTTCAGTGTAGACTTCCCACGAAATTTTCGGTTTCCCCGAGGATTTCGCATCTTCTCGCGAGACAAAGCATTTCCCGGTTCATCCACGTGACACGTGTCCGGTTGATACACTGTGTGCTCCAGTGGCGTGGCGTGAATTGCGATGTATCGATTGTTATGTCATTTAATCTAATGGTAAAGCATCGATTATCAAGGTGTTCGCTGCGAACACCCTGTCTATCGATCCTTTTCCATAGGTTTAAATGGCATAACAATCGATAGATCGCAAAGCGCACCACGCCACTGGTGTGCTTGTTGCCTTCGCTTAAATTATTTGCAGGCAATAAGAGGCCGCATCCGGCAAAAGCGATGCCCGGTCAGTATCAGTGGCGTGGAGTGAATTGCGATGTATCGATTGTTATGTCATTTAAACCCATGGTAAAGAATCGATTACTAAGGTGTTCGCTGCGAATACCCTGTTGATCGATAATTTTCCGTAGGTTTAAATGACAGATCGACCGATATATCGCAAAGCACGCCACGCCACTGGTCAGTATGCTAATCCTATTCGACGACCTTGCGGGAGATCAACAGACCGATAATCGACTTGAGTTGAGGACACTTGCGGAAACACACAGACGAAAATGGCGGGAGTTTGAAGAATTGCAACCGAATAACGAAAATTATTCACCAAGCATGGATAAATTGACGGAGATGATGACCATGAGGGTTGAAACCTTACGGATCCGCTTATGGACAAAAATTGAAATTGAAAATTTTATCAAAATATTTCGATGACCGATATTAGGGTACTTGCGGGCTGGTTGTTGAAATTTAAAGACAAAGCTATAGATAAAAGAAGACAAAAGGGATACGGAGGGATCCTATTCGTAGAAGCGCGGGTGGTTGCAACAGACAAAAGAAGTAAGTAGTATACTAACTAACGGCAACCCACGGTGCGAGAGGCCCTATGGTTAATCCATCATTTTCACCCTAATAGTCCATGGGAATCACCCATTTCAACCAATAGGATGGCTCCATAGCCACTATGTCTTCTTTGTCCGTCGCTTCGTCTATCAATTTCAACATTCAGCCGGCTGTGTGCTGTGAGTAAGGACTCGTCAAAATATAGAGCTCCTAGGGCCAAATAGAGCAGCCAACCTTCTCACACAGAAAATGTCACTGCCAATCTTCAGATTCCAATATCAAATCAAGATGGCCAATGAGTGTTCATGAGCGAGCGTTCTTTCGCAAAAATTAGTGAATTTATGCAAAAAATGAGTCAAATTAATACGTGCTTTACAAACGGCGAGTTATAGCAATTGAGGGGCTCGGAGGACAAGACGCACAAGAGCATTTTTTGCTATTTCAAGAAATACGTGTTTAAAGTTTCAAAAGTACATGGAGCCTCATGGCGGAAAGAAAGTTCAAACTGACTTTTTGATGCTTAAAAATTGGAAAGGAAGTTTAAACTCGCTTTTTGATGCATTCAAGTTGGACTTAAGTTGTGACTTTTTCACAGAATATACTTCCAAACTAGTTTTTGTTGAGTTCATGAAAATCACAATTTTTTTAAAAACTATACACTTATGCACCTTGTCCTCCAAGCCCCTCAATGGAGATG